GGCCCACCACCCCACTGCGCGGGAGGAATTCCTTCCAACCTCCCCGGTCGCGTGCAATGACTCCCAGTGTCAGCGACCCCGGCAACCCACCGTTGCCTCCTTCCCGACCACGTACAATGGGTATGTCTACCTTCCAGCAGAGCACCCTGCGATCCCACCACCCTCTTCCGCGAAATGGATAAAATTTCACAGAAGAGGGTGTCGCTTTCACCAACCTGGCTACGTGCAATGACATCGTCGTCGTGGCGTTATCAGTTTCGGTCGCGCAAAAGGCAGCAACCAAAACCGCAGGTTTTTTTGATCGACCGAAGCAATGGTTCCCCAAACTTTCAACGTCGATGGTCAAGCGAATTAACGTTAATCGAGAGATCAAACTCTCCGTTCGTGAACGCCAAGTTCGCCCACTCCCAAACTCGCGCTAAGGTCAGCCGACCTGGAAAAAGGGTCGCTTCCCGCGCCTTCTTCTCGACGAGCTCATCTCAGAATCAATCGATTAAATTAATTCCTCGAATCACTGCTCGCGACCTCGTCAAGTCCCCTCAGAGGCGTCGCCTCCGAACAAGCCGCCACCGGCGTAACAGTCCCCGCAGAAGCCGATGAAATATCGCTATATGCAGGACTGACTCTTCCTCCAACTCCGGGCCTGGCAGGCATCGTACACACACGACTGATGTGCTCCAGCCGGCTACACCGCCAGCACTGAGTCATCAGACCCGGCTTTCTTTGGACTTTAGCAATAGTCCAGCCCACCCTGATGCGCCCCCTTGTTCATCAGGGCCGTCGTTACCTGTTGCGGAACCTTCAGGAGCGCAATTTTCTCACCCCACGGTTCCGTCAGGAGCCTCACGATCTCTATCTGCTCCTTGTCTTGTTCGCCCGTATTCGGTTCTTCCAGAATTGCTTCTGTTAACTCCTCGGGTGCAACATCCGTGTCCAAGCCTCTTATTTTTATTCCCTCTCGATTCTTCAAGACTCTAATTGTCGTCGCTTCTTTGCTGATGTATCTTTGAATTTCTTCGGCGGTAGTTTACGCTTCCGCTGCGTCCTCAAGTTCGAGGAGAATTCCACCGCCTTTGGTGTTCCTCATTCCTCTAAACACCATTTTAGTGTTTCCGTCGGTTTTTTCTTTAATGTTTCTAAGAATCTTAGGAATATCCTTTGCCTCGGGATGTCTTATTATTATCGCCGTTCCTTTTTGCGTTCCTCTTCTCTTCTCTCTGCTTAGGTTTCGGCTCTCTACGGACGATATCGCCGAAGGATCCAGCGGCCTCGTCGTTTCCGGTTTGAGTTCCGATACTGTGTGTCTCTTTGGGTGGCTCCCTGCCAACCCGTTTCCAGGCACTGCTTCGCGCTCCCATAGGAGTCTGCCTCGCCATTGTGACTTCCGAATATTTTCTTCTATCACTTATTTGCACCGCACTAACACTAACGCCCGAATTGCGCACCGCGGATATCTGTTTAGGGCAAGAGCGACAAAAATGGCCGCTCTGCCCACACCTGTAACATAAGTTACTCTCCTCGTTGCATTCTTTGACAAAATGCCCCGGCTGCCCACATCGGAAGCAAGTGTTAGGCATCTTGTACTGTCTGACCCCGCAGATCGTCCATCGTATTTTGATTTTTCCGGCTTTTAAACAGGAACGATGTGCGTCCTCCTCCAAGGACACACACGCGTTCCGTTCCCCGGCTGCTCCGTTCCTTAAAAATATAATCTTAACATCCCCGGTAGTACCGGAGAGTTTTCTTATCGCCTCCGTGATGTCTGCCTCGTCCATCGTGCAATCTATTCTCTGAATGTACAAATGTTGTTTCCTTCTTCCAACTTCTTCGACTTCTATGTTCGCCACTCTCATTTTCTTCGCCAAGTGTTGCGCGTCTTCTTTTCCTATTACTCGAAGGAGAACATCCGCCGATGCCCACACCTTCCTCATGGAAATTACCCTCTCCTCCACGTTGTTTCCAATCTTCTTCATCTTTTTCAGGTTCTCCTCGAACTTTCCGCCTTCCGATGTTTGCACCTTAAGTGCGAAAACTCCTTCGGTTGTTGTTCTTCTCTCCTCTTGTTGTTGCTTTCCTTGTTGTTGTATTTGTGTTTCTTTTTCTCTCTTCCTCCTTTCTTGCCATCTTTTTCTTCGTTTCCTCCTCCTCCTTTGGTGTATTTTCAGGAAATCCTATTTTCTCCGACTGCTGCTGGAACATCTCCTTCTCTTTCTCCTCTCTTTCTTTCCTCTCTCTTTCTTCCGTCTCCCGGGCCTTGTGTTCTTTCTAATTTCTTTTGTCTACTTTTACAATCTCTTCCATACCGACCATCACCATCCTTTCGTAAATTCTGCAATATCCCTCGACCATTACGTCCTCCACTCCGGTACAGGTGGTCCGAGCGACCTTCATCTTGGTTATCACGTCGAGAACCTCCTCCAGTTCTGCGCTCCATCTTGTTAATATCATGAGCAGTACTTCCCTCTCACATTCTCTATCGATGCCGACTTCATCTATTACCCTCCTTATATTGCCCAAGAGTATTATTAAACACTTCTTGTCAAAAGCCCTTAAGTTGCTGCTTTTCTTCACCACTGCCTCTGCCTTCAGTAATAAATCTCCCAACATGTCTTGGAGAATTTCCGTTGTTTCAGGACCGTCGTACTCCTCCAAATCAAGCACGTCGCTGTCCTCTTCTCTCGGAACCGTAGTCCAGGATCTGAAGGACGAGACAC